TTCATTTATATTATTTCAGAGTAGTTTTTTTAAAAATACAGTGAAACTTCACAGATGTATTGTGGCGACACATTACTATGAATTGAGTAGCGGTAAAGTGCAAAAAATATAAGAATTTTGTTAATTATTTTATACCGACAAAATAGCGCAACCGACGAAACAGCGAAAATTCCTGGTGAAAAATATAAGGCCTTGAAGGAAAGTAGGAGGAGAAGAAATATTATAGAACAAAATTTTATAAAATAAAATAATTGTAAAATATGATTTAAAACAAGTATGAAAAATTGTTGAAGAATGCCTGCGGCTATTAGTTTGTTATACTTAAAGCGGGTCGTAGTGTGAATCTCGTTGAATTTCTTTGAATCAGTTCGACTGAATCGCTCATAATTCACTCATAACGATTTGTTTTAATCAATTAGAATAATTATTTTTATATCAAATTTAAATAGGTTCATTGAATTTTTTTTTAAATCCCTCATACCATTACTGGTTAGATTCGCTCAGCTGACTTATCGCACTGGATAAATATGCCAGGGAATCACTTGGCAAAAGAAGTACAGGCGAATCGCCAGTATAACCCGGATTTTTGGTCAGATTCACTCTTGCAAGGAATAGAACCAGCATTCCGAATTGGCTAACAACCCACTAAGCCATTCTATTTCTTATTGAATATTTATAGTTAAATTTATAAATGAAACGTTTTGTGTTTTAAATGTTCGGATAAATTTCCTGGCCTCTTTTGTCCTCATTTAGTTCCATTTTGATAATTTTTAATAATTTTTCGGGTTCCTTATAAATTATTCCAGTTTGTTTATGCTTCTTGTTTTATAGAGAACAGAAACTTATTCCTCGTACTATAATAGGAAATGATGAAAAAGTTTTAGGTAATAGCCAATTAAATAGAAGTTAATTAATAACAATTTATTAATATTGATAATTTTATATATTAATTATTAGAAATGATCAGATTTTAATTTAATAAATTTAATTTAATTTAATAGTGATTAATAAATATAATTATTTGAAGAAGAGAGAAATGAACTATAAGTGATAATTTCAGTATTTGATAATTTTAATCAGCAAATAATTACTCTTTATTTTTATGATGAAAGTTAATTAGCATTTCTTACGTTATCAGCATTTTTTATAGCATTAATTATTTCTAAGTTTCATTTTATTTTCACTGAAAATAATTAATGATTTAAAAGAAAAGAAATTAAGAAATTTTCAATTAAAATGATAATAAAATTATCAAAAATCAGCGAAAATTTAAAATTAGTACTAAAAATTATTTTCTTCTGCCTAGCGGCAATTCTATGAAATTGCAGTAAAAATCGCAATGTCGAAAGTTTGTCCTCTTTGGCTGCACATTGCACAATTCTGCAAAACATTTATGAATTAATAAAAATAATTTTAAAAAAGTTAAAAATTATTTACCTATCTTCTTCAAATTATATATACCAGCCAAACACTAAATATTGCTTAAATTAAGGAGATTAGAATTAATTAAATTAATTAAATTAATTTTTTCACCATTCGTTAACATTTCTTTCATAGTTTACAATAGATTTTTTGCATAATAAATAAATTATCATTTTTGATATTTTTAGATGCAAATAAACATGTTGTAATAAGCTATGGGGATAGGATGGCTCAGTGGGTTGTTGCTCAATTAGGAGCGCCAATACTGAGGTTCTATTCGCCGCAGGAACCTGTCCAAAAATTCAGACGACCCACCTGTACTTCTATCGCTAACCGATTCCCTGACATATTTCTTCAATGTAACAAGCCAGCGTAGCGAGTTCAACCAGTAATGATGAGGATTCTTAAAAAAAAATATTATTTAGCATTTGATAAGTTACAATTTTTGATATTTTCAGAATTTAGATAAGAATGTAAATAAACATGTTTATAAATTATGAAATATATTTCATTTATCATTTCCATATCCACATATCCATTTATCAGGTTATCATTCCTGATAATAAATCTAAAAATTCCAACAAATATGAAACATTTCCATTTATCTTATCATTATCGATAATAAATTAGATTATGAAGCTTTATCGTTAATTGCTTTATTCATTTATAGTTTTGCCTTTCATAATAATCGTTCATCTTGTTTTTGTGGTACTTTATAAATTATTGTGAATTCTTTTCTTTCTTAGTGTTATCGTAATTTACGTTAGCGATATCCAATATTTTTTCATAACTGTAGTGAAGAAGACTTGGTCATCATAAATACATTGTACAGTTAAGCATAGAAAATAAAAAACAAGTCTCTTGGCGATAGAAGTACAGTTGAGCCACCAGCATCACTCGTATTTTTGGATAGGTTTACTCCTATGGAGAATCGAACCTCTCAGCATCGACGATCCCTCTTTTATTTTTACAGTTAAACTATTGAGCTATTTGGCCTTTTTCTTATCAAACTCTGTCAATAGCTGATTCGTTAGGAGAGAAACTGTGAAAATAGGGTCTTATAAAAGTCCAGAATATGATTAAATTTTCGTCTTTTTTGGCAATTTTTCAGCAATAAATTGGCAACTCTATATATTACTTATAAAAATTTATAGAATTCTTAAATTACCAAAATGTTGACTTTTTGCGTAAAACTTGAAATCTCTTTTAAATTCACTTATCAATTCTTATAACAAAATGAAAATCGAAAATGCAAATTTTTCACATCAGTTCAGCCAAATAATCAAAATGCATAAAAAATTAATGTGCGATTATTGCTTAAACTTTGAACGAACGTATAGACAGACCAGCGATATATGGACTTAGACGATGGAAAAAGCAATGGCTTCTAATACTGCTAGCGATGACATCGGACCGAGCAGCTTAGAGACCCTCTTACCCTTGTAGCCAGCGGGGCCAGCCCAACCAGTAATGGCGAGAGCTGTTAGAAGAAGAAGGCTTAAGCTTACAATTATTTAAGCTTAATTTTGAACGTTATTATGAAACATTGCAGTGACAAATTCTTCTTTTGAAGAATTTTTAATCGCTTATAAAATGCAAGCGAAAATCCATCAAAAATGCTCAAATGCATCTCATCGAATCATTTTTATCCGAAAAAATTCCTAATTCTTTTTGAAGAGCCCTCACCACTTCTAACCATTAAATTCTAACCGCTGGCTAAACAAATATGTCAGAGAGTCTTTTAGCGATAGAAGTACAAGCGAGTCATGCCAGCATCAACTGGATTTTCGGGCAGATTTACTTCCATGAAGAATCCATGAAAAGTTCAGTATCGACACTTCGAATTAAGCAAAAACCAACTGATCCATTCTATTCCTATTTTTTGCAACTCAGGCATCTTAGCCACCTTAAAAACAAATATTATCTCCCTAATCATTTTTAAAGAGCTGCCAGAATTCCTTTATGAAATTGCTTTATTAGTTTTCTAAGACTGTAAGTGGATCGCAGGCTATAAACAGTATATTCCTGGCTCAACTTTTTTCATACTTTTTCATACTAACTCAATCATCGTTTTAAAATTTCTCTACAGTTTTTTATACGCGATAATTTATAAATTAAGAAAAAACTACTTTTTTCATTCCAATTTTTTAAATATTAGAAATATTTTTTATACAATATGAAATATTTAATCTGTTTCATATCCCATAACTTTGTGAGGGTACCCGTGTTGTGATGACATAATTATGCACAATTTTTGAAATTCTAGCAGCGATAACAGGTTATTACAGGTTTGACAAATAATATATACGATACATAATACACTGGTCTGGTAGGGTACTGTACTGGATTGTTTGGTAATGTTAATTTGGTCGCAGTCAACTAATATTCACTTAACTTTCACAATAGTTTTGTCAGATTAGTGTAAAATTATATTTTAAAAATTTACCAATATAAATTTAAGTAAAAAAATTTATGGAAATTTAAACTAAATTAATTAAATTACTTAATATAAAAAATTATAAATTCATGGAAAAATAAATGATAACCGATAAATGATAAATGATAATTCGCCAAAAACTCACAAAAAAAGAAACAAAGAAACAAATTATAAAATTATGAAATTTTCCAGTAATAAAAAAATAAAAAATATAAAATTCAATTTAAAAAAATATTTGAGATTCAACCATTCTGAATCACAATAAAATTTACAATAATTTTCTGTGATATCTAAAAATTTGAAGAAAATTTCAGCCAAAAAACGAGATATATAATTTAAAACGAAATACCCATAGAAATAAATAAGCCTTAGGGGAAGTAATTTTTAGAACAAATTTTATTTGCGCCAACTAATTAAATGAAATAAATAAATTAAATAAAATAAATATTAATATTAAACATTAAATTAAATTTAATATTTAAATATAAATATTAAATAAAAAATTATTTAATATTAATTATTTTAAATAATTATTAAATATTAAATTGATTCATTGCATTTTCAAACATTAATTGTATTTTAAATTCAATTAATTAATTAAAATAAAAATTAATAAATTAAAAAATTAAATATTTGAGGTTGAAACATTCATTTTATTCAAAATTATTAATTGTGTGGTGGAAAATTGGATTTTTTCCTTGATTAAATATATTAAATAAATAAATAAATATTTAGCCTATATTATTATTTATTATTATTAATATATTTATTATTGCAATTGCAATAATAATTGTTATAATTATTTATTATAATTGTAATTATAATTATTTATTATGAATATAATTATTTCTTTTTTGCTGCTACTACATTATCATTATCATTATTATTATCATTACTATTATGTACTCATAAGACTTTTTACTTCTAAAAACATATATTTCTCAACCACAACGTCAATTTCCGCCAAAAAGGCTTTTCATATAAAAACATAAAAAGAAATTTCAAAAAATCTTATTTCTTGAACGGAATATACTTGTACTGTAGAATTTGCCCTAAAATTGGCGCATTCATTATTGGCGATTGCTTGGTTGGAAAGCGGGCATTAGTTGGTGAGTAGATTTTGATATTGGGAATGAGGTGAATGAAGGTGTTGAGTGGCGGTGTTATTAAGGGTTTTGGTGTTTGGTGCGGATTATAGTCAAGTAGAGATATGATATTGTGTAGCGTGGGATTGCTTTGCTAGGATACGTTGAAATTTATATTTTTTGAATTTGAATTTAATTGTCATTTTTTGTACTTTTCGTAACATATTTGTTACAGTTTTATGCCAGTTTTTTTGGCATTCGATTTTTTTAAACGCAAAAAAATCTTTTTTTCTGGTGCCATTACGAACTGATAAAATATCGCGAGCAATGTTTTAGATTGTTTTATGAAATATTTCACAAAAAATTAGTTGTCCATTTCCCTTATCACTTATCATTATCATGTACCGTTAGATTAGTTTTCATTTTCTTCTATATTATTCGCTGGTGAAGTTTTTTTTAATAGAAAAAACCATGTGATTTGTATTTCATTTGAATTTTTTAGCACAATTGTGGAATTTGTCGATGTCGTAGAAAATATAACTCATTTAAGGAAGAGAAAAACAATGGCAAGTAATTCAGTTTTATCAATATCGAATTAAATATTATTTTTTGTTAATTAGCAAAGAAGAAAATGTAAATTAAAAAATATTTCGAAAAATAATCAGTGCAATTTGTTTTCGGAATGTTTCTTATAATTGATGGGCTTATCTTTCGCCCTTTTTTAATGGTTGAAATTTAGCGAAGAAGTCTGGCTCCGTCAGTTTCGCCAACTTCCCGCGGTGCACGTATTGTAGTACGATCTATTGACATTGATGAGATTGATGCGCAACAAAAGCGTAAGAAAACGACGGTTGGCGGCAGTTTAATGGTAATTAAAGACTGAATTTTTGTCGTTTTTTTTGCTCATTGGAGTTTTTTTTGTTCTTTAATGATTTATTGGCAAACAAACCAGTTTCGTGGAACTCGACATACCCGTAAGTTTCGAACAGGTGTTTGTCATTTAATTACACTGTTCGAAACTCGGGTTCGTCGTGTTGCCTGATGCTATCTGGCGTTAAAATTATAAAAGTACAGCGTATTTTTTCTTTTTTATTCTTTTTGTTTGTTCTGCTTCTTCAAAAAAAAAAATTAGTTAAGCCACTACGAGACAATTCGGATCGCTTAATAAACCCGTATAGAATTATGTGCCTCGATTCATTAGCTGATTTGATGATAAAGGAGCGTGATAAGCATGAAGAATTGATACAGAAGCTATTAAGTAGACCATTTCGCGTGCCTGTGCCGGGTTATATAAGTATGTGTTTAATTTTAAAGATTATAATAACAGCCATTCACACTTATGAACTAAATTTTATCAGAAGCAAGCGGCTTGCAGTTCACCCGTAAAACTGAAACGTGTTGTTTGTTTGGTAACACGTTTCTGTTTACGAGTTAATTGCATTCGTTGGTCGTTTGCGAATCAACTTCCTTAATCGATCTTCATTCTTTATGCAGTGATTTTTGCAAGATTTATCCGGGGTGGGGGGAATTTTTTTATAAAGTAGCCGAACAAATAGCGTGTTGGTTTAGGTTCTGGAACAGCTCCTGCTCTCGGACTTCGTCATTCAACCATTCGATGTGCCTTACATGATCCGTATGCAGAAGGAGCACTTGTATTATTCACGCCTCCAAGTATGAATGCTCATGACGCCTTAAAAATTGAGGAAAACAAAAAACAGGTAGTTTCATTTGATAGGGGATCCACGTTTGTTGCAAATTCTCAGTTGTGTGACGATATTCGATTAATCGGTATTCGTTTAAATTATTTCCTATTTGTTTTTCAGTAATAAATTTGTTTCATTTTTGGGCATCTACTTATTTAGGTGCATGTAGTTGTCGACCCAGCTATAACCTGCGTGTTGAGGCCACATCAGCGTGAAGGTGTAAAATTTTTGTATGATTGTGTCACAGGAAATCGAATTGAACAAGCATATGGCAGTATAATGGCTGATGAAATGGGGCTTGGAAAGACCTTGCAATGTATCACATTGATATGGACACTTCTCGTATATTTCAAATGCCAATTATTTTCATTTTTATAATTATTTTTTTTTGTTGTTCGGTATTCTTCGAAGAAATTCTAACAACGATATCTTTTTCTTCAAATATAAAAATGAAAACCGGTTCCAGCGACAAGGTCCGGAAGCGACACCAACTATAAATAAGGCAATTATTGTTTGCCCGAGTAGTTTAGTCAAAGTAAGTTGTTTAGATATATGCCCATTATTTCATTATTAAATTTCTGGAAGATATTTAAATGGAAAATGGCTAGTAATTGACAACATAAAGAATTTAGAGAATGGTTCTCTTTAAATATGTGCGTTGCAAATTGTGGCTTTGATTTCTCACCATCCATTGATGCTTTCTTTTTCAACTACTGAAAGCTTTAGAACTGGGATAAAGAAATAATAAAGTGGCTTGGCGGCCGACTTAACTCATTAGCCGTGGATTCAGGCAAAAAAGAGGAAATCGATAAAAATTTAGGTATTAAATTTTAATAAGACATATATATATTTGGAAGAGGGGGAAAAATGAGATTTTTGAAATTGGTGGTTCTTGATGTTCTTTTATATTAAAAAAATGTTTAGCAGCGATTGGGAATTTTTATTATTTTAAGGAAAAAAGTAGTTTATTTTCTTGACTTTCTCGATTGATTTAGAGAGTTTCGTGGCGCAAACGGGTATACGATGTCCAACGCCAGTACTTATTATTTCATATGAAACATTTCGTCTGCATGCATTAATTTTACAGGCTAAAGAAATAGGTCTTGTGATATGTGATGAGGTATACTTTCAGATTTTCCATTTTTTGTATTAGGCCAAAAAAGTTAGTATTCCAGTTTAATCTTTAGGGTCATCGGTTAAAAAATAGTGATAACCAGACATATCAGGCACTTTTTGGATTAAAATGCAAAAGGCGAATTCTTATCTCTGGAACACCGATCCAAAATGATCTTCTAGAATACTACAGGTATCTGTACATTCTGAAGAGTTGAAATTTTTTCACTTTGCTGAAAAACATGAACTTTTTGTTATTAATACATGCTTCGGGCGAAAAAGATATTCCGTCACGTGGGACTTTCCAGATGACTAACGCTTCAACCAGATTGATTGTATTCTAGTCAGTTACCACTGGAAGAGTTCAGGACCAAATAGTCGTTCTTATCGTAGCTCTGGAACTGGTGCCATTCACGGGTCAGACCGTGTTGTGGTTCGAGCTAAAGTTCGTAAAACAATTTTCAATTGATAATAATGGAACTCGCAAGAAACAACTTGAGGTCTTTCAACTATCTCAAAAGATTCGGGATTAGTATAAATATTTCAAACTGAAAAGTATTTCAGTGAAATAAATATCAATGATATCCCTGCAATGGTCGATGAATACTGGTCCCAGCTAAAGGCATATTTTCGAAAGTTAGCCAATCCTATACCAGGATATGCCAGCAG